TAAGCTCCCAAAAAACAAGCTTAATGTCCCCCATTTTCTTTGTGGAAGTTTAAAATCTTTGAAACTTCTAGGACATGTGTTGGTAAGTTGGGAACTCGGGCTGTGCAAAGTTTTAAGTCAATTGATTGAGACTTAGGCACATTATGGTACGTTAAGCTCTTTTTACATTAAGATGTTCACATTAAATGTTTTAGCACTGTGAAATATAGCTTAATGTGAATAACTTTTGGTGTGATTGATTAAATGATCTAAAATGTTCAGAATATGTTGCCATAAATAGAGTCTTCTATTGTGAGAAGTTTGGGGGGAAATTGGTCAACATCTAAGCACTTTTTTGTACGTTAAGCCACATTAAGCTCCCCAAAAAAACAAGCTTAATGTCCCCCATTTTCTTTGTGGAAGGCTGAAATCTATGAAACTTCTAGGACATGTTTGAGATGTTGAGAACGTGGGCTGTGCAAAGTTTCAAGTCAATTGATTGAGATTTAGGCACATTATGGTACGTTAAGCTCTCTTTTTACATTAAGCTGTTCACATTAAATGTTTTAGCACTGTAAAATATAGCTTAACGTGAATAACTTTTGGTGTGATTTACCAAATGATCTGAAATTTTCAGACTATGTTGCCATTGATAGAGTCTTCTATTGTATGATGTTTGGGGGAAATTGGTAAACATCTAAGCTCCTTTTTGCACGTTAAGCTACATTAAGCTCCCCAAAAACACAAGCTTAATGTCCCCCATTTTCTTTGTGGAAGGCTGAAATCTATGAAACTTCTAGGACATGTTTGGGATGTTGAGACCTTTTGACTGTGCAAAGTTTTAAGTCAATTGATTGAGATTTAGGCAGTTTATTACATGTTAAGCTACATTAAACCATTTTCACATTAAATGTTTTAGTCTGTCCCCTCAGGAAGGGGGGGGGTGTTTGGTCCAATAGGTCTCTTGGGCCCAAGAGCCCTGTGGATTCTGTCAAATTCCAGGTGTTCAATGGGAATGGAGGGGACCTATTCCTGGAGTAGAGTGGTGATTGGAGGTAAGATCCTCAATATACTCTGGAATGCCATGGATCCTGAAATTGTCCCTTCTGTTCCTGTTTTCTATATTTTCCAGTTTATTGAGGGCCTTTGTTAGATCATATTTATAAACATCTAGGTCACTGTAGCTGCGGCATCTATTTTCTCCTCTAAATCATTTATGCAAGTGCCCAGGTCTCCCTGGAAAGTGTGCTGCGATGAGAGTCATGATGCTGACTGCTGAGTAGGCATCACAGAGATGTAGAGCTGGACCATCACCATTTGAAGAGCAAGGTAGAAGCAGTGTCAGGAGTCTGTGCACGAGTAGGAGAGTAGGAGCCAAGTTATTTCCCATCCGCTGCCTCAGGGTTATCTTTAATATGGGACAAAATCGACAGCTACTCTAGGCCCAGTCATTGTTGTGGGGCCCAGAGCAGCTGCTTCTTGAGCTGACGCCAGTGGGGGAATTACCAGAGTCGCAAAGGTCGCACAGGTCACCCTTGCAATTGGGCCCTGGTGGGGGGGCCCACTGACTGATGAGAACATGTTGAGGGCATGTGACCCAGATTGGTTCGGGGGGGGTTGCACACTCGTCTCCCCTCTTTCCTGACCTGCTGGGCTGCATGCTCGGATAGGGGTCTGGTCAGGATTTGGGGAGGGACCCCCATGCCAATTTTTAAAAAATTGTGGCGTGGGGTTCCCCTTAAATTCCATAACAGATCCAATTAATTGTTGGGCAAAGCCGACAATTCTTTCGACATTCAGCTGTCAGCAGGGAACCCTGCTGACAGCTGAAACATTAAATGTTTCACTACTAAAATACCGCATGACTAAATAATATAACTCATGCAGTATTTTAGTAGCTGAGCGATATCTTACTGCATACTCATGCCATTCAATTAGAAGAAATATGGAAAGGTTTATTCACAGTAAGAGCTGTGAAAATGTGGAATAGACTCCCTCAAGAGTTGGTTCTGGCCAGCTCAGTGGATTGCTTTAAAAAAAGGTCTGGATTCTTTCTTGGATACACAGAATATAACCGGATACAAACATTTATAGGTAAAGTTGATCCAGGGAATATCCGATTGCCTCTCGGGGGATCAGGAAGGAATTTTTTCCCCTGCAGGATCAAATTGGATCATGCTTTGCTGGGTTTTTGGGTTTTTTTTTGCCTTTCTCTGGATCAACTGTGGGTATGGGATTATAACTTTTTTTTTTTTTAATGATTGCACTGGATGGACTTTTGGTCTTTTTTTCAGCCAGACTAACCATGTAACTATATAGGTGTATGACAGTCTCAACCCGAGATACAGCCAGGCCACACCCACCAATGTCTTTCACCCCGCCCCTATTGCTTGTTAATGGATAAAGTTTCCATGCAGAGGGGGGAAAAAAATACATCATTGGCTGCCATTCAATTAGAAGAAATAAATGTCAAATGAAGGTTTCCCTTGCACTGGAATGCTAAAAGATGAAAAGCACAGGGAGCAGGAGTGCAAAAATAGTGCCCAGGAAACACCAAAATGTATGAGTAATAGATTGGGTACACTAAAGGACCTGCAATAGCAAACAATAAAAATAAGTATACATTCATAAAAAAAAAAAAAAGCAGCTCATGTTTGAATTAAATAAAAACAGGGGGATCTCTTTTTTTCAGATATATTTTCTTTTTTTGAGCTGCTGTCTCTGTCATGTGTAAAAAGCCAATTTTTAAATACTGGCTTTAGCTCCACCCCAGACTGAAGCCCAATTTGTCAACAATTCTGTGGGGGACTCTCCTGCTCCTCCCTACCCCACCCTTGTCTCATTCCCACTGTTTTCTGGGGTTCCACACAAAGATTTCTGCTCGCTGTCTATATCATGTGAATGGTTTTACCAGACAACAAGTAATGGAAAATCTACAACAAACACACGTACAGCAACAAGAAGCTGAAGTAGATTCCAGCCTTACTGTACAAAAATTTTTTTCGGTCTGTGATACCATCAGAGACCCACTGCTGGTGACCAGGACAGGAGGTGAGGAGATCTCTCTAGTGGAGCCCCAGACAGCAGAAACCCAACAGGGATCTAATGTTTCTGCATTCTATGCAACATTTTTAAAAAATTGATCAGACACACACTTTTTTTGTTTGTTTTATTTTTAATGTGAGAATGCAGTTAACGATGATGGTGGCTGAAGGGAAATGTATGTTTTTTAGGTCTGTCATTTTGTTTTCCCCCCACTCCATTTTATATTTTGTACTAACATGTTGATTAATTGTTTTGTATTATACCCAGAATTAGTTAATAAAAATATGCTGTGTCAGTTATGTGTTACAGAACTGTACTCACAATATTCTTCTATTTCTTATCTTAGCTTAGCCTTGGTAGAGATGGAGATAGTATCCAATTATTTCTTTGTACTAACAGCACCTGTTTCTGTTATGATATAATTAAAAGTCAAATACTTCTGTCCCATGGGAAAACAACTGTTGGATACTTGTAACTGATTTCAAAGCCTGAGAAAAATCATGTTCACAGCCTTGACAAGTATCTAGCGAGATTCTATTGTATGTAGTAGATAGGTTTTTTAAAACAATGTAGAAACTTTCCTTATTCCTGGGAAAGTGAAACTCCACTTCTCATTATTTTTCAGAATTGACGTCAATGCTTGTATTATTTGTATTCAGCCAATCAATTACTGACAACTCAGCTTTTTGATACTCTGTGCCCCCCACCTTTCTTTTTTCTGTTATATTAATTTTCTTCCCGCTAATAAACTTGAGAGATTCATTTCACCTATCACTGTGTGTATGTGTCTGTTGTTTCTGAGGTGAAGTCAAGTCCTCCGGACGTGTCCGTATCTTCAACAGACTGATCAAGACAGATAGCCAGGGGCTAGCGACAACCTTTCAGTGGCCACAACATATAGCCAATTGAACAACAGAAGAATACAGTATCTATTTGATAGTATAGTTTAAGGTTGCTTTAGTGACATCGGGTATGACCATTAAAGTGAAATTCTTGCATAACTATTCTTCAAAATGTCCCCTCCCCCCTCCTGCTATCTGTCATACCTACGTATGACCGATGTAATATCTGTATGTTTACCTTTTTTCAGCCTGCTCTGGTCACGTGATCGCAGCTCCTGCTCCCCAGTTCTATAACATTATAAACAAGTTTAGTGACTTCAGAGCTCCTGTTAGTCTGGTTTAACTTGATTTCAATAAACTATTTAGATTATGTGAAGATTCTTCCATATTGACATTTGTTAATTTGCTGAGATTTCACTTCTAGTGAATTCAATAACCTTTGCTGACATTTTGCTGCAGATGTGACTAATCTAGCTATATGTTACACACAATCACAGAATATGCATAGAAAGAGGTGTCTACAGCTTCAGCAGCATTAGGAGAATCCTAGAGAACAAGTCTTATAGTTTAACAGGCAATGTTCAACACACACACACACACACACCTGTAATGTGTTACTTCAAAGCAGTTCCTGGTGTCTGTCATGTGGACATAAGTAAGCACATGGCTATGGGCCAGGCACTTTCTCAGGGCACACATACGACTTGGAAATTCAGTGCAGGGTGTAAAAAAGCATCAGAAAATAGTCTGTGTTTCTGTCTTCCATGTCGCTTTATGAAAGAATTATACTTCATGAGACGGAGTATGTAAGAAGAAAATGTTGGCTTGCTGCCTTCAAGGGGCAATACTGACTAAGAGCACTAAAACAAAGAGGAATTTTAACCACAAGCCTACAGGGCACTTATACCCCTTTCCTGCCCAGGCCAATTTCCAGCTTTCAGCACTTTGCACTTTGAATGACAATTGCGTGGTCATGCAACACTGTACCCATATTACATTTTTATCATTTTTTTGTGAAAGAGCTTTATTTTGGTGGTATTTAATCATCTCTGGGTATTTTCTTAAACAAACCAAAAACCACTGAAAAATTTGAAAAAAAACAAAAAACCAAAAACACACGTTTCTTAGTTTTTGTTATAAAATTTTGTAAAGAAGTGATTTTTCTCCTTCACTGATATGCGCTAATGAGACTGCAGTGATGGGCACTGATAGGCTGCACTGATGGACACTGATAGAAGGCACAGACTGGCACTGGTGGGTGACACTGAAAGGCAGCTCAGATGGGCACTGATATGTGGCATTGCTGTGCACTGGTAGGCACTTATATGTGGCATTGATGTGGCACTGATGGGAACTGGCACGTGGCACTGCTGGGGCTACACTGATCATCAGTGCTCTGGTGATCAGTGTACATGTCCCCTCCGCGGAATGCCGATTATCAGCTCTCCTCTCAAGCTGTCAGCTTGACAGCTCGAGAGGAGAGAAATACCACGAATAAACCGATAAGCACCATTTCCGTGTTTACATGTGATCAGCTGTGATTGGACACAGCTGATCACATGACCGAACCGACATCTTCGGCTCTTTCCATGGATCGGTGATCCGCTGTGTCTGAGGGACACAGCGCACTACCGATCGCCGCGTTGTGGGAGCCGCACATGCGCGGTTAGAATGGGAGGACGTCATATGACATCCTCCCAGAACAAGAGAACCACCTTGCGTCCGTCATATTACTATATGGCGGGCGGGAAGTGGTAAAAAAAGTAGCATACCAAAACATAAACCTTACAAACCTATATCTAGCTGCTTGTGGAAAGACATACTCATTATGCAATCCGATTGTGTAACCTAATGAATTTCTGACAACTATGCAGTTTCAGGCCTCGTTAAGCTGTTTTATTTTCTATCAAGTCATGTACAGTTTTGCTCTATAGTTGTTGCTAAATCTAAAACGTTACATAGTTAGTCTGGCTGAAAAGACATAAGTCCATCCAGTTCAACCATAAAAAAAAAAAAAGTTATCCTACATTCACAGTTGATCCAGAGGAAGGCAAAAAAACCCAACAAAGTATGATCCAATTTGCTCCTGCAAGGAAAAGAAAATTCCTTCCTGATCCCCCGGGAGGCAATCGGATATTCCCTGGATCAACTTTACCTATAAATGTTAGTATCCAGTTATATTCTGTGTATCTAAGAAAGAATCCAGGCCTTTTTTAAAGCAATCCACTGAGCTGGCCAGAACCAACTCTTGAGGGAGTTTATTCCACATTTTCACAGCTCTCAATGTGAAGAAACCCTTCCGTGTTTGGAGATTACATTTCTTTTCCTCCAGACGTAAAGAGTGCCCCCTTGTCCTCTGTGAAGACCTCCGGGTGAATAGCTCTACACCGAGTTCACTATATGAACCACTGATGTATTTATACATGTTGCTCATATCCCCCTTACTTTCTCCAGTTCCCCAATGTTCTTTTTGTGAATTGGTGACCAAAACTGAACTGCATATTCCAGATGAGCTGGAAAACTGAACTGCATATTGCTAATGATTTGTACAGGGATAATATGATATCTCTCTCTCTGGAGTCTATACCTCCTTTAATACAAGAGGATTTTGCTCGCTTTAGAAACCGCAGTTTGGCATTACAAGTTTAATAATGGCATGCAATCTATCAGAACTCCCAGATCCTTCACCATTGATTCATTGATTCCCCCAGTTGTACTGCCCCTAGTATGTATGATGCATGCATATTCTTAGCCCCCAAGTACATAACCTTACATTTATCAACATTAAACCTCATTTGCCACATAGTTGCCCAATTAAACAGTGCATTGAGAAGTTACGTTACGATTACTGTACAATCAGATTACATCATACATTCAGAATGTAACGTGTTGTGAATATATTCATGTGTTACAAACTTTTTGAACAATCTCTGCAAATCTTGTGTTGTCACCTTAACTCTGTATGCACAGTCAGACTGTAACCAGTAGCAATCATTGACATTCAGCTAGGCTTGTTCTTCAATGTTGAAGACGTTTTGTAGATTCTACAAGCCCCGTCTTCATTTCTAAATAGTGCTTGGGATGTGTAAATGGTGATTGTCTAAGAACAGGGTAGGAGGTGTGAATGTTGTGGAACCAACCTGTTCTAGTTCTATAGATCAAATGCTTTTTTTAGGTGCAGGAACTCAACCACAGGTGTGATGCGTTGTACATGCCGTGTCATAGGGTTGGTGTGGCCTATTTGCACCAACAGTGAAGGGTCCTAAATGGGCATTGTTAAATAAAACAAGGAGTGTGTAACACAGAGTGCAGAGATTGGGGAGTGCATTATGCGCAGAGTTAAGGCGTATATTATACACAGAATGCAGGGGTTTAAGAGTGCATATCTCACAGGCTAGTTTACAGCCAAAATTGGCTTCTCCCAACTCCCCCCCCCTTCTCATCACAGAAATCTCTCCCAAATACCCCTGCTACAAAGTCCAAAGTGCTGCGTTACATACTTTTTTCCCACTGAACTCTGTATGCTATGCTGTCACTCACCACTAAGTAAAAATCTTGCCTATGTGAAAACTTTTCCCCCTAAAAAAAAGCAACACCCATAATTCTGCTCTTCACTGTCCACAGCTCACCTCTTCCCCTGTCCAAAGCTCACCTCTGCAACCGTATCTAAAGCTCGACTCTGTACATCCCATGCCTAAGCAGCTGCCTTAGGGTGCCAAGATTGGGGGGGGGGGGGTAAAATCCAAATCCCCAGCCACTTGCTAGGGATTCATTTTTTTTTTTATTTGCTATAGTCCCCCATCGCATGGCAAGCAGCTGTGCTCATTCTCTCAGTGTGGCCAACATCTGCAGGGATGGAGGAAGGAGTGAGGCAGAGAGGGTTTGAGCCTGCTATACACTGGGGGTGGGGAGCAGCTCTGTGGTGCCTTGCATCTCCCTTTACACCTCCGGTCATCAGTTCACAATATACAGCAGAGGAAGGGAGGGAAAGGGGCGGCTTTAGTATACAAGCTAGTCGCTCGGCTTGTGTACTTGCTGTTGCCTGCCCATTTCAGATGCCCCTCCTCCTCCACTGTATAGTGTGAACTGCTGGGTGGAGGTGTAAGGGGGAGCTACTGTCCAATAGTGCCACAGAAGTGAGTGAGCATGAAGTGACTGCAAATCCTTTTATCTGTTTAAGGTCTGCCCTAATAGCAGGAATACTGCTACAGGGCGGACTCCCTGCGCAAAATCACGGATATATACGTGATTCTTGCTTCCGCCATGATCACGGGCTGGGGGCATGCGCACACACCCTCTGACCTGCTGGTTCCATGATTTGGTGCCTGACCAATCAGCAGATTCAGGCCAGTGATGTTTGGAGTGGATCTGCTAATTGATTCCTGGCCCATCACACATCATCCTGTACCTGTGTTTACATTTACACCGGTACAGGAAATTATGTAATCTCCTCTCTGGGCACATTCCGTCCCATAGAGAGAAGAAAGCAGATCCACGCAAGTAAAAAAAAGCACACTTTTACAGTAAATGTACAGCTAGGACACATTTAAACCCCTGATCGCCCCCCAGTTAACCCCTTTACTGCTCTGTCACCAGTGTCATTAGTACAGTGTACAGATTTTTTTTACTGATCCCTGTATTAGTGTATTAGTGTCCCTCCCAGATAGCGTCAGATTGCCAGCCAGTACACCAGTCATCACATTTAACCCCTTGATTGTCAGGAACACGCTCACATACACAATAAACCTCCATTGCTAATATAGTTTCTGAACAGATCAATATCTTTGTTCAGATCAGCACTATACCAGCATTTACATTAGTATAGCATCCCCAAAAATGCAGCGTTAGCAGGTTCAGCCCCAGCACCTTCGTTTAGCCCTGTCAAACACCGCCTGGCGGTACCTCTAGCGATCCACAGGACAGAATTCCCCCAGGGTGCGGGGTCTAAGTCCCAGTATGCTTGTTCACCAGGGCCCCTGATGGTGGGGATGGACTTGGAGCAGACAGTGACCAGTCACGGCCCCTGAGTGCACCTGCCTGTGGTAGAGGGATCCGCCAGAGGTGTGTAATGGAAGAGAGCCTGATGTGAAGAGGCGGATATGCCTGCGCAGCAGTGACCGGATCCGTGCAGGATGGATGGATGGATGGCAGGGTAGTGTAGCGTAGTCAGACACGCTGGGTCGGTAACAGTGGGGACAGCACGGTACAGAGCAGCGGACAAAGAGTAGTCAGGTCACACGCCGGGTTCAGTAACAGGAGGTCAGATAAGCAGGGGTATGCAGGAGAGTAGTCAAACAAGCCAGGGGTCAGAGCAGGAGAGAGTCAGCGAAGGTCAGGATCAAGCAGGGTCGGCAACAAGGTCAATCAGCAGGAACACAACGAGCAGGAACAGGATAATAAGACCATACGGCAACTTGAGTCTGTGCAGGGCTGGTTTATATAGTGCGCCCTGCACTGTCATTGGTGCCAGGCACGCGTTCGTGATGGTGAGTACGCATGCGCTGCCGCTGTCGCCTAGGTCCTAACGCCTGCCGATTCGAGCGCATCGGCGTTCTGCGCATGCGCAGACCCGTGCACCTCCGTGACTGCTGACAAGCCCCTATGCTTACCCCCCCTTCTCCCCCAGCAACTGCAGTGTCAGTAGATCACTGTCACTTGATACATTGCACACAAACCCGAAGTGTTTGCAGAATCAGGCCTGATCTCTGTTAGCACTTGCAGGTACATTTTTTTTAAGCAGTTCAAGCAGTTACTGACAGCCAGGTGCTCTTTTTTCCCCCGTGAGTTGCACTAGGTACCTATAAATTTAGTGGCCAAAATGTCCAACGAAAAGTACTCTAGTGAAGAGGCCTGCAGGATTCTGAGCATGTTAGGTGAGAGCGAAGGGGAAACCTCACTGACAGAATCTGCCTCAGAATACAAACCTGTGGACAGCAGCGGCACCCTGACAGATAGCTCAGACGATGGAGAAGAGGTCCCTGCTAAGGTCAGGTGTACCTGACCCCATTCCCAGGTTGCTGAGACGTTATAGTGCCACTCTACTTTTTGGTGAAATGGCAAGCACCAGCGACCTAGTACATCCTGGTCTTCTACATACCAGCACTGCAGTATCACTTGGTGATGTGACGAGTCCCATAAGTGCAGTACAAGCTGGTGCGGTGGCTAGCACAAGTAGGGTCCCGCAGCCACCAAGAATTCGAACACAGGCCTGTAGAATCCCTTGTGTCCTTCCGAATGTGCTTGCAAATCCCGATTGGCAGCCCACAAATTCTGCAGCACCCGTACTTCCCCCATTCACTGCCCAACACGGAATTCAGGTGGAATCAGCAAATTTAACTACTCCCCTTGATTGTTTTGGAGCTGTTTTTCACAGAAGATCTGAATGCATTGATTGTGGATCAAATTCAAACCTTGCCAGACCATTTGCATGGAAACCTAGTACGGTTTCTGGGGCCTAATCCTCAACATGGGCATTACTAAAAAAATTAATTATGATTGTGTTGGTTCATAGACCCGATTCATCATATGCCCTTTCTACTGCCATGGCCAGGCATAGATATGAGAATATAATGCGATTTATGCATTTCAACAACAATACACTGTTGTCCTCGGGGTGACCCT